AACCTGAAAATCCGATGACGATGTTGTTGTTATTAGTGGTATTTTGAGATGCTTCGTAGCTTTGCTGGGAAGTCTGGTGGTAATAATAGATGTCATTATCGTATAATGTGGTGTGGGTGTGGGCAAGGAGAGGGGCACTGGCATGGGTCTGCGTCTGTTTAGACTGTTTGATGTGGTGAGCGCAAAAGAGCTCGATCTTGTGTAATCCTGGCGAGTAATAGCGTGGGGTGCATCGATGTGCTATCGAGTTGATGAGCGAATGTGAACTTATAGAATCGTTGTATAGGGATAACGGTAGATGCGTTGTAGAGGTATGTGGATGAGACCAATACACACTGGATGTACCAGCAGCAGCGGTCTATAATATTTTCTTTGTTATGATTTGTATATGTTGTTGTTTTTTTTTTTTTTCCTCTCCTTGCTGATCACACTGTCGGATCAGAAATTTTTATCTTCCCCTTCCTATCTTGTTTTTATCGGAAAGTTTCATTTTTAAAATTCCGTATTGTATCTTATTTTTTCTCGGAGTGCTTATTGGCGGTGCGCTATCGTGCGGGTGAGATGAGAAGATGCTTCGTGTTACATTGTTTCCTGTGGCTCACTCAATGCACTGTGTATCATTAGTATCCAACACAACACACCACACAGCACCATCACGACACATATGGATACTTATTTGATATTTTTTCTTCTTTAGTCTTAATCCTGTGCCGCTTATCTAATCCATGGAAGTCAAGTGCAAAAGACCTGATACTGCTTAATTATCCACTAGCTATGCACACCCGAACACGACACTATGTATTTTGTTTGCATTATATATATATATATATATATATCATATATATATATTCTTATTGATTAACTAGTTACTTGACCTAATATTAACATCTTTCTTAATATTTATTCATATTTTGGGGTATATATATAATTATGTATGAGTATACTATGTAAGTTTTACAGTTTCATATTTTATTTTTTGGCTGTATTAGTAACCGTGTTGGAAATGAGTACAATAGAAACTCGAGGCAGATAGATAAACCTCTGAGCGAAGGGGATATCAAGGACATTCATAACATTAATTTCAACACACTACTCTGCTAGAAGTATGATATTTAGAAACGCGGCTCTTTCCGGATTTATATCTTTCGGTAAAAATACATACATTTTGGAGAATTACATCAGCATAAGTTTATAATTATTACACGGATCCTAGATTTTTCGCAGGAAGAGCTATGAAAGTGAAAATCACTGACCCCATACTCCTTATTCTTGATAGTGCGAACATTCGTTGGGTCGCGGGAGCGTATCGGTTTTCATGGTATTCAGGATTAGATCGAGAAGATAGATAATAAGGTATTTATGCTGTAAGAGCCAAATATTTGGAGTCGAAAAGGACAGAAATTGTAGCATATGATCAGAAGGTCTTGTAATATATTGGTATATTAGAAAAATGCTGTCAGTTTATGTAACAATTAGCACACACGCAAACACACACAAGCACACACACACACATACACACAGATCATTGCAAACTCATCGTTAATTTGCATTCGGATCAGGTTTGTGTGTTTTATTACCATGGTTTATTCCTGTAGTAGTAATGTGGACATTTGGCATGCATTTCTGCGTTCATGGAGACACATGGTCATGAAGACACAGGGGAACGCAAGCACAATCGTGAAACAAACAAACAGACATATACACACAAATACGTTTGTGCGCACACAATGCATGTACGTTGCAAACCAACACGCGAACACACACAGGATCCACGGCCTACTTTTAGAATACACATTTCAATTCATTAGTTTCACTTAAAACATCTGACAGTCTCATTTCATCTGCAGTTTAGTACGTTGTATATTAAACATATATCAGATTACCCGTTGACAACACAGTATCTTATCATCCACTCATTCATCATGGTTGTAAAGAAACAAATTCATTGATCTTTATTTACGTTTCGTCTGGCTCCTCTGTATTGTTTGACTAAGCGACCCACGCTTGGCCTACGATGGAAACAAATCTCATTAAATGGCTTTATTTAGATATCCCTTGTTCAGTATGTAATAAAGATCTATGTGAAAAGAAAGAAATAATAATGCTGAGTGTTGGGAAAGAGACAATAGATTTGCAAGTAAGATATACACGAGAACTGCGAATGGAATGGTCCCAGTTTGGCATCCTGGCAACCACCATAACAAACTCCCTGGCTGGATGACGCGCGTTCCCGAACCAGGGGTACCAACCTCTTCAGCCACGTTAATTGATCGTTTATGTTAATTGTTACTCTAAGTTCGTTGTTCTCTCGTTCATTTTGCTTAGTTTTGATGTATGAGCCAGTGTACCTTCTTGAATTCATATTTATACCGAGGAATGACAGTATTGAAGTCAACCAAGTAAAGATGTAAGCCCTGTTCAGATGATTAGGAAGACACAAGAAAATAAGTGAAGTTAACAGATACATAAACGTCTGTAAACACGAAAACAGAGTAAGATA